AGGCCTGCCAGAAGGAGAAGAGAAAGAGCAAGAAATTGGAAATCTTTTTGAAAAAAAAAATGAAAGAAAACTTTCCTAACTTGGTGAAGACATGAAAGTCCAGGAAGGACAGAGAGTCCCAAATAAGATGGATGCAAAGAGGCCCACTCATCTGAGCTCCAGCACCGAGACATAATTAAAATGCCAAAGATTAAGTATAAAGAGAATCTTAAAAGGAACAAAAGGAAAACAGTTAGTTACCTACAGGGGAGTTCCTATAAGACTGTCAGTTGATTTCTCAAAAGAAACTTTGCAGGCTAGAAGGGATTCTCAAGAAATATTCAAAGTCATGAAAAGTACTGACCTACAGCCAAGATTGCTCTACCCAGAAAAAAATATCATTTAAAATCAAAGGGCATATAAAGAGCTTCCCAAATAAGGAAAAAACTAAACAAGTTCATCATCACTAAACTATTACTGAATGAAATGTTAAAGGGACTTGTTTAAGAAGAAGATCAAAACTATGAACAATAAAATGGCAAAATAATACAACTCTATCAACGATTGAATCTTAAAAACAAACTAAGCAAACAAGAAGAATAGAGACAGAATCATGAATGTGGAGAGCGTTTTGTTGGTTACCAGATGAGAGGGGGTGAAGAGGTGAGTGGATTAAGAAGTACAAACAGAATAGTCATGGGGATGTAAAATACATTATAGGAAGTACAGCAGTCAATGAACCCACCCATGACCCTTGGACATGAACAATGGTGTAGGAATTGGCCAAAGGAATGGAGAATGCTGGTTGGAGTGGGAAGCAAAGGGGAAAAAATCCGGAGAACTGTAATAGCATAATCAATAAAGCACATTAAAAAGTGAATTATATGCTGGCAGATCAGTGAGTTCAAAATGTACCAGCCACTTAAAAGTTGATCACTTGTGAGCTGCAAAATAGAAAGAACAGGACAGGGATTTGTCTTCAAGCCAAGTAAAAGAAGATGGGAAGTCCACAGATCTAATTTTAAGACTTGCCTGAGCGCTGCCTGGCCAGGCAGTTTAGTTTAGAGGATCCTAATACACTAAGGTTGAGGGTTCAATCCCCAGGCAGGGCACACACAAGAATCAACCAATGAATGCATAAATAAGTGGAACAACAAATAAATGTTCCCTTCTCTTTCTCTAAAATTAATAAATATTTTTTAAAAGACATGCCTAATTTTCCCTATCAGTACACTTCTTAGAAATGTCTCCTCTCTCCTTCAAACCCAAGCCTAAATTTAATAGGTTTGGGTTTGAAGGCAAATCCGACTCTAACCCAAGTTAGGAAAGGTCCCACTGAAGACTCTGTAAGGTGGCATGGGTGGCAGATGGCTCCCTCGTGGGTGGTCCCACGTGGACACTACTGGCATTAATTCAACAGGGATGAAGATGGATGTGATGGGCAGAGCCCTCATCCTGACACCTTAGAGCAAACCCACCTGGGGCTAGAGGTATGGGCGTCAGTTTGTAATAGGAATTCACTCTGTGAAATGCCTGAAAACTATCATCTATTAACCTAACATGATGAAAATGCATTACAATTTTTATTCAGATGAATTAATTAAACAAACAGCACTGACTAAGTTTTCTTGAGTATTACTTAGTTTTATTTAAAAGCAATGACCTTAACAATTCTGATCAATTATAGTGTTATAATTGCTGCTATCAGAAATATTTGAACCAATATTTATTGTTATATAAATAACCAACATTTCCTATGCTCCTCAAAAAAAAAAGAACATTTTTTCTGCATGATGTGGGAGACTGCAGATTACAGAGAAATATTTAATGCCTACAGAAAATCAATGAAATCAATAAAAACATGTTTGTATCTATTTTATACTCCTCCAGGCTTCTCCCTGCTAGCATTTAAGAAGAACTAGCGAAGTGAAATTCAGCGATAGGTTGTCCTCCCGTACACCAATTCCTCTACAATGCATTATGAGAGAACAACTCTTTTACAAAAATGGATAGGAAATAGATAAAATTTCTTAGCACTGACACACTAATAGGCTGTAAGTAAAGGCAATTGTTTCTCAGAAAAGAATTACAAATTTGAAATCTCTGTACTACTGTAGAACTGGGAAAGGGGAGTGGTATTAATACCAGACTTAGAAGATATCTTTTTTAGGTGAAGAAAGAAAGTAAAACCAGAAGGAACTGAAGGAATTCAGAGTGAGTCTGCAGGCCGGAGAAAACCAGAGCAGTTGCTCGGAAAGCCCTTACTGAAATCCCGTTCTGCTGTTCATGCACGAGCGCTAACCCGGCTACAGTCGTCCCGACGCTGTCACTCAGCTTTAGAAGACAGCCATGTACTGTTTTGGTCTGAAATGCAGCAGTCTTTCTTAATTCTCCATCCACAAAACCCCAGAATGTATTCTGTTCTTTTCAAGTTTATAAACATGCATGAAAAAACAGAAGTCAACATGTCTAGGCTGCTTTCTCATTTGCTTGCACAACTGAAAAGTAAGTTTTAATTTAAAAATAGAACTTGGCACATGAATAGTCCACTGGAATGCTTTAATAAAAATAAATGGCCGTGATATTTAACTTAGAACAGCATCAGCTATACAGGCATGTATTCCTGCTTTGATTTTTTTAAATTTTGTTACCTCTGAAAAAAGCATGCATTTTTAGAAGACTCATTACACTGGGTAAATTTCACAGACATATGACCTTGCTCTTACTGAGCAACAGAAAGAAATTTTTTAAAATAACAGACCTTCAATTATCTCATCAAAATTAATTTTCATTGTTTACAAAAATATTTTTTGTTTTTGTCTATACACATTTGTATTGTCATAATTGTATTCAGTGTTTCCACAATTTTAAATTGTTTTTCACTTAATATCACATTTCTCATGTTGTTTCATAGTCAAAATAAAAATTTTGACTTTTATGCTATCTTAATCTAGTTTTGGATTTGGATAACATTCACATTTTTAAAGACTGAGATAATATACATATGTGTGTATGTATTGAGAGGGAGAAACATCGATTTGTTGTCCCACTTATTTATGCACCTTTTGGTTGATTCTCGTATGTGCCAGGGATCAAACCCGCAATCTTGGTGCATCAAGACGATGCTCTAACCAACTGAGCTACCTGGCCAGGGCCAATATTCCCCATATTTTTGTATGTTGCAGACAAAAAATGTATAAAGCATGAAAATTACTTGTTCAAAGTTTGGAATAAATCCAATGAGTCTATCAAGTCATGTGTTTTGGGAACTGGATTTACTAAAAAACCTTTATTTTTTCCTTAATTAGTGGTGATTTAAAACTTTCCTCATTATCAGTTTATAATTTAATCTGTGTGGCTAATACACATTTGTATACAATGCCTTGTCAACAGTTGTGCACAGTATTTCATTATAATTTAGAATATTTTTGTTTAGTACCTATATACTGATTGCTGGATCTTCTTTCCCATTTCCAACCTTACATAGTATTAGTTTTTGCTTATTTCTTTTACTATTGCTTTCAAAGAGTCAATTCTTGATTCATTTGTCTACCTTTTGGCTTTGCATTTTATATTTTTAAAAACATTCTTCTCAATTACCTGTCCTTGTATGACTTGTTTTCCTCTCTCTGTAAATTAACATTCATAAAGCTTTTAATTACCTCCTAGTTCCTCTCTGGTCATATTAGTTAGATGTTACTATGTAGTTTTAAATTTTATTTCATTAGATAAATAGTCTTTTATTGCATGTTATACTTCTTCCTAGACCCAATCATTATTTACAAGACTATATTTGTATTTAAGACCATTTGGAGTTATTTTCATTGTTGGGATTGGAGACACAAACAAAAATGAGATTAAGTCTTTAAAAGTATATTGAGATTTTCCTCTGAATCCTCAGAGATAATGTATCTTGTACACTTTGTAGACATTTGATTTCTGGCTAAATAATGTGAAGGTTACATTAAACAAACCAAATTTAAATTGTTTTATAAAGCCCTATGGGTCACCCACCAGGCTTCCTGATATGCTAAGGACTAAATGTAGTAACATTTGTGTAGCATTTATCATAGAGACTAGCATATCACAACTACTCAATCAAGGATGGTGGTGGTATATGTAATAACTAAAGTTGAGCAGTAGCTACATTGGAATGTGTAATAGTAACAGTAATTGTAGTCTGGTAGCCGTTACATCCTTCCACCCTGCTGTGCTAGCTCAGCTGCACTGTTGATCTGGACAGGAATAAACTAGCTGTGTGTTCTTAGTCTGGGTTCTCTTACTATGACATAATGTGGCTGGACTGGATGCTTCTGAGGTTATCTTTATTTCTAACATTTCTAAACCTCATTTGTTGGCACTTTTAGGACATGGACTCTATTTACACCAGATACACACATGTCCTTTGTTCTGAGGCTGTTGCTCACTCTTTATTACCAAAGCTCTTTAGGAACTGAAGTCAAGATAGAAAATTTTACCAAAGTCACTACTCCCTCTGACTGTTTTGGAGGAGTAGTCATCGATTCATTATTTCTGAAATAAAGTAAAATTTCCAAAGCAAATTAAGATAGACCTGTACTGTTCTATCACCAAACTCTTGGCACTCATGCTAATTTGTGTTTATTTTCCACCATTATTAGCAATGAAAGAATTTCAGAAAAATATGGAATACAAAGAATTTCCATGTCTTATAATGGAATCCAGAACATTCCTCCATTAAAATGTATTAATAAAGGCTAATATATGTATCAATCTAAGAATGTTTACCATTAAGATTAAAAATTATTATTAAGAATACAAATTCTTATCATTTTTATTAAGGATGAAATTTTTTCATCATCTACTACAGGCATCTCTGGTAATTAAAAACAAAACGAAAGCTTTGAAACCTAACTATGGACAATATGTGAAGAATCTGATGCAAAAGCAATAAAAATATGACTTGATACCTGTTGAAACAAATGCCCCTGCTTGCAGTTTTAATGGTTTTAAACAAGAGATCAGAAAAAGTACAGACTTACCTGTGCGATAGACGAAGTTCCCTTCGGTTTCCGATGATGAAGGAGACACTAATTCTTCTTCAAATTCATTGGAACTAAAAGATCCCGAATGGTTCCTTTGCCTTGTCTTTCCCATCATGGCTGCATTTGTGGCCATGACATGTCTCAAAGAGTCATTAAGGTAACGGTTCAATAAGCTGCTCTTGTATTTTGGGGGTGACACGTAGTCCTCATTGGCCTGTGACTCTGGCCTCACTCCAGCCTTTATGACCGAGCTCTCATTTTTAATCACAGGATGGTGCACTGGATTGTTATAGCCCCCTTCGTTCATGTGGCTTCTTGGAGGGTTTTCTCCATCTAAGGGGGAAAAATATCAGTAGGTAGGACTCCTACATGCTTTTCTCCAGCCACCCAACTGCTATATTTAATCATTAACGATAAATGTGAAGAAAGAATATTTGAAGTATATAAAACTATCTTTGATATTCAAGATTAATTTGGGGGCAAAGAAAAGCAGGAATCTATGTGATCTCTCCCTATGGTGTTTCAATTTTAATGAATTTCACAGAAAATGTTATTCTGACACACAATAAATTATAAACAAGAGGAAGCAGCCATCATTCTGGTGGTCATTTATAGTACCATAAAAGTGAAAAAAGAACCGTTATGGCATCATTATATCTTGTGGGATTGACCTTAAAAATAGCAATTGAGGCAAAGCCAAGAAAGCAAAATAAAAATACGAACAAACCTTCAGAACACGAATCATCGCTGCTTACACTAAGCCGCTCAGCATTTCCTTGAACATACTTGTTGTACAACTTTATTCTTAAAGCCCAGCTCAAATCTGGCTGTCGAACAGTATTCTTAAGTCGACGTCTTGCATTAGCAAACCAATTTGACACCTAAAAAAGTATTATTTTTCAATTAACAAAATATAAAAATTATCTACCATACAAGTACTTTCCCCCACAGGACCTAAGCCTCTCTCAGTATGTCTCACCACCAAATATGCTCATGGCATAGCAGCACTGGACACTCAATCCACTCATTTATTCATTCAACAAACATGTTGAGTGCTTAGTACAGAGACTGATTACTTATTGTATTTGGGGAACAAAAAAATGAAGATGTCTTGCCATCAAATTTTCAATCTAGTAAGAGAAGATACAAACAAGTCTGATATAAGAAAGAATGGCTTAAGATGCATTACGATAAAATTACACAGGACTCCAAAGGAAAGAAAGGATACTCTACATGTGACTCAAGACTTCATGAAAAATTTAAGGTAGGCTTTGAAGGAAAATGTCAGGTGTAACGGCTAGAAAGAAAAGTGTGTTCCCAATAAAGAGGACGTGGGAACAAAGACAAGTTCCAGAGACATTCTGGTGGGTAAGGAAGAGGGACCAGTTAAAGATGACTTTGTAATCACCAAATCTGTGCCATTTAAAGAAAGACAGTAGGATTTTTTAAGTATGAAATGATATGTTTGTTTGGGGGCATGTTTAGTTGGAAACACTTTCTAGCATATAGATGAGATGCAAAGCAAGAAAATAAAAATGATAACTGACAGTTAAGGAGAGAAAGAAACAGATTTGGGTCAAATGCACAGAGGTGATAGCTGAAGTTGTGAGAGGCAGAACAAAAAGAAGATTAAAGACCAATGGAGACCTCTAGTTATTAATGATGTAAGAGTATAAAAGAGGAGCTGGCAAAACAACCAGAGATGGAGCAACCAGACAAGCTGAGGGAGAAAAGCCCAAATGACATCCAGCTTTACACTAAAAGTCAAGTGTCACCCAAGAAATGAACACTGCAAAACAAAGGACAGTGGCTTCCATTGTTTTTTAATAAGATGCTACCAAATTTCTAGAGGCAAAAATAGTACTTGAGGTTTCTTTCCAAATATCAGGCTATCATCAGAACACATAAATGAAAAACCCAAGAGGCTGGTATTTGCCTTTAAAAGAATAAAATGTGGAAAGAGAATCTTTCTGCCAATTTGTTCCAGAATATGACTCCACATTACCATAATGGTTTGTGTGGCAATGCTTGCACCAGAAGTCCCTTTTTCCCCTTTTTTTAGATTCATACTATAAATACACACTTTTTGCATATTGCTCAAGCCCTAATTATTGAATGGAACTGTGGTGATTTCTACTTAAAAAAGAAAAACAAAAAACAGAGCTACAGTTTTTTTCCTCTTTGTCCCCAGGGGTAAAGGCATTGCATTTTTCCCAACTTATTTATATGTACATATGCACAAAACATATCTTAAGCTTTAGATATATATTCAAATGACTATCCTTGTGTCTTAAGCAATGATAAACTGTCCTCTTAAACTTATGTACAGTGAGGTAATATTTCACTATGGCATTTCAGAAATCATAGTTTTCATCAACCTTTCTTCCTGCCAAGCTGTGCTGTTATTGCCATGATTTAGCCTGACTTCAAATTTTCAGTCTTTCCCAACCTCTATAGACAGGGAACTTCTGGAACCACTCATTCAACGAACATGCATCAAGAAGCTCTTTTGCTTTAGCCACGGCGGTGAGTGCTAGGAGTGGATATTGTGCCCCATGCACACGCAGAAGGACCAGCAGTGACAACCTACGACTGGAATTAACACTGTGATACATGGGTTATTGGTGTGGAAGCACAAAGCACCTGGTCCACTTCTTTGCTACCTCTCTCTTTCTGTTGTCCAAGTCATGGCCAAAGTATTTGTCCAAGTCCTCATTACTACTAACTAAGAATTTAGAACACTGTCTGAATTTCCATTCTGTCCAATTTAATGGATCTTAACAGCCACCATCAAATTCAATTGTTGATGAACCATTATGATTTAGTCACTTAACTTCTTCAAATCCACATGAACGTTCCATTATCCTGTTACTGTGGTATAATGGGAAGAGACCTGGCTTCTTGTTCTGAATTTGTCAAAAACATGCTGTGTGAATTGAGATAAGACACTCACTTTTCTGAACTTCAAACGCTTCATCTATAAAATATGTGATCCCTAGCACCTTTGTCAACTTCGAAAACTAAGATCTGTGGCTACAGCCCACACTGTCCTATGACAGTGTTAACTCCCTTCAGAGCTGGTACTAGCCTACCTCCTGCTCCCGGCCACTCCTCCCTCCAGCTCAGACATGTGTTTCTGCCCTTCTCTGTCCCTAGCATCCACAGACCACACGCTGCAACTTCCTCTAGGCAGAGGTCATGGATCTGCCAGAATCCAAGTCCGAAACTTTTTGTTACTTTCTTTACTAAACATCATATAATTCAGACAAACCTCAAATCTTAAGTAATCTTAATTCTTAACTAACCTAAATTATAACACCGCCACCACATAGTACAGTGTAAAAACCTAATTCTTAAAAAACTCCTCATATTTTTATTAAAATGCAATGGTCTTCTAACTTCAAAAAATGTTAATATACTATAATTTTAACATAGAAAAATGGGGGACCTTTTAAAGCCTTGCTAAAATTAACTAGCTTTTCATATATAGGGGTCATATTCTTTTTATGTTTTAATTTTTTTAATCCTCACCTGAGGATGTATTTTTGTTACTCATTTGAGAGAGAGAGAGAGACATTGGTTGCCTCTGGCAACCAGGGATTGCCCTGCAACCCGGGCATGTGCTCGAATCAGGAATCAAAAGCAGAACATTCTGGTGCACAGGACAATGCTCCAATCAACTGAGCCACCAGGCCAAGGTCTTTTTTATGTTTTACATACCCACAGTATATTAATTATTTAGGGTCTGGCAGAACTAAGACCTGCTTGAGAGTGGTTGGTAGGGTAATAATATGGGCGTAATAATTTATAGTTTTAATTTGAACATTTCACCTAAAATGTCAGATGGTGTACTTGAGTGTGATATTGTTATGTTACAGAATTGCATGCTTGTGATTTTGTAATAAAAGGTTTTGTAATAGAAAGGGGTGATATTTGTGCTGGACCCTTGTATATTAAGAGATTTTCCAGAAAGGTTTTCTGATGTCTAATATAGGCTGTTTCTAAACTGATTTTATAAGTTTGATGAGCACCCAATCTGCTAATATATTCACTCTGCCAGTATTTTATTACCAGACATTTACAGCACAGTCAAAGGGCTGGATACAGTCTGAGACTTTAATATCTACTTGCATTACGTTGTGCAAACAGCAGACAAATAGGTTAACAAATCTGCATAAATATTATTTTGCAATTTTTTTCCCTGGTGATTTAATGCAGACTCCATCTGTTTCACTGAAAGAAAATATCAGCTCAAGTTTTCTACCTTTAACTTTCTAGGGGTTCCTTCAGGTTATTATTCAAATTCTCTTTAAAGTCTGTTTTACATGAAACAGGCCTCTTTACCAGGGGGAGGTTCTGAAGGAACAGTATTTTAATGTCAAACTCAGAGCTGTAAAAACACTATTTTAGAGTGAATGCACAGAGAACCAAATATCTAGATGCTGGGAGAGAAAATGAAGTAATTTTCATCCTACTCCAACTGAGGTGTTTATATCCATCGTATTGACGGAGGAATCATTACAGTAAACCCAAGGGCTATGCTGGCATCTGTCCACCTGTGAACATGCAGAATTAACAAAGTGACTGGTCGCTTGACTGAAATACCAAGCCCTTCATTTCTATGCCATGTCATATAACACTGGGAATAATGTAGAAGGACCTTTCTGAGACTTTGCTGAATATTTAACAGTTGCTATAATCCTTGCAGTTAATAACTACATACATACCTCAGCAGAAGCATTCACACCAAGCAAAACTAAAACTAGGTCAGTACAGGAGGCAAAATCTTGCAACACAGAGGTTTTAACCATATGGTGCATGAACGTATCCTAGAAATTTTAAAGTTTTGCTATAAGAGGAGGAAGCATGAACATCCAGTCATTAAACCATAATCTCAAACAGTTCTTGCCCTGCATTCTAGATTGTGATTATAAAAGATAGCATTCTAAGGAGACATTTCACTCTGATAATTCAGAAAAATATAAGTATATTTTAAGGTATAAGAAATAAACAATAAAAATATTAAAACCAGAGAGATATAGTCTTATCTGCCCTTTGAAAATCTCTCTAAAGGCAATCATTCTTTGGTAAGATTAATTTCTTACAATAATACAGAATCTTAATTGTATACCAGTTTATATAATTCTACAATAAAGCTATTTATCTTTTGAGGGTATAGAGTATATCTTTATAATATGTCAACAGTGGTCAGCAATAAGAACCAAGCACAGTGAAATATTTTGGTTGATTAGAATTAAAATTCACGTACACATACACATACAAACCATCTCATCAATAATTTTATAATAATGCTTGTGTCTTGCTAGGAAGATGCCAGATTAATAATGCAAATGAGAGTCAAACATAATTACAGCACATTAGGCCAAATCTAGTGTGTAGTGAAAGTTGCCAAGTCTAGAAAGTTTTGTAAATAATTCTTTCTGCTTCATTTTCAGGCATAAATAAAAAATAGGTGCCTATTAATGTCCTTAGAGCTTCTCTTTATTAGAAAGAGCAACTTGTATGGTCCTAAGGATATTCTGTCCATTAAAGTTTCAGCTTTTTGTTTCTGGGATTAACGGAGATTGCTGACCAGGTTTTACATCCCTCCTTATTAATTTAAGAGTAACAAAATAAGGCAAAAATATTTATCATGAAAAGTTTGACAATTTTACTCATAACCAAAAGGAAATGTTTAAGTATAAAACAAATTATCAAAATATAAGCTAGTTTTGTATTAAGGAATGAAATTTTTGCTAACAGCTTATTAATATAAATCATGAGAAATAGAGATACGTGTTGCAATAAACAAGAAATAGGAATTTGAAGCCAGGAATGAAGGGAACACTCCATGTTTGTCTACATGAAAATAGGGTATATTTCCAGATATATTAAAAATAATAAAGTTAGTTATACTTTTGCTTGTTCTGTAAAACCATCATGTAACATTAAAGATAAAGTGTTGCACCCTGGCTGGTATAGCTTGGTGGATTGAGCATGAGCCTGTGAACTAAAGGGTCCACTAAAGGGTTCAATTCCCGGTCAGGGCACAGGCCTGGGTTGTGAGCCAGATCCCCTGCTGGGGGCACTTGAGAGGCAACCACACACTGATGTTTCTCTCCCTCTCTTTCTCCTTCCCTCCCCTCTCTAAAAATAAATAAATAAAATATTTTTTAAAAAGATAAAGAGTTGCCCTCTATGTATTCCCTACAGTAGGATGGATTTTAAAACTTTCTTAATCAGATTTCAAGACATTCTTTAGCTTTCACAGAGGTGTTTTGGAAATCCACATGGTGGTCACAGTGGTATTCCCTCATTAGAACCTGTTTAATCTATAAACATGTAGGGCCACTTTAGTCCCTGGGAAGTGCTGTGGTGGGTGGCTTGGTGGCGTGAGAATGAACAAGACACGGTCACTCTCCCCAAGAAGCCGGACTCCCTGGGAGAAATGTGTTTAGTGGAGAACCCTGACTCTTCAAGTGGGGGCTTAATTGGCTGGGATCAAAAGCTTTATTCAGATCACAGCTTTTTCTTTTTCCTCAGAAGTGTAAAGTATTTACATAATTTCTTTGGTTCCCCATAGGGTCAGAATTTAGCCATTAATGTATGTCTAATTTTATATATATATATATAAACATATAGGTAGGTAGATGAGTGCGTACATTTTTGTATTTTACATCACATATATATATTACATATTTTTTCTTACATAGATATCCCTTATGCCTAACTGAAAAAACTGAACCTAAATTGGATTATATATAAGATCCCCTGATTATAACATAAATTTTGATATTTTCATTTATTTTAAAGTTCCAGAAACAAGCTTCATATACTATAAAATTTAACAATTGTTAAGCAAGTATCACTTATTACTAACAATAATTATCATTGTCTTATTTAAAATTATATAATTTTGTACAGAAAGAAACTATAATGAGAAAAGTTTTCTTACATGAATGAAAACTTCACATAAATTAGAAAAATGTAATAGCATAACCAATGTATAATGGCAAAATAATTGTTATTTGTATTTGCACTATCATTACAGGTAGAAACTGATCTGATTCTGCATTAAAATTAAAAGTACTTGTACTGCATATTACAAAATTATGGCACATGAAAATTTAAATGTCTCTGCTAATGACAAATGTTATTTTTCATTATTAAAATGTTCAAACATGTCATAAGTATTTTCTGCTTTTATATAAAAATGGCAAGCATTAACTATGGAACTATATAATCAACCAAAATAATCTATTGTTATTTTGCTAACATCATTGCCAAACTTTTAATTCCTAAATGACAATCTTAAATACTCTGGAAAGCAATTTTTATTTTATCTCAGAGTTAAATATTGTTTTTAAAATTCTGGGGCTCTCCCTCACCATATAGTCAATGGGATGCCCAAGACCTCACAAATGTATCAGTTCAGTGCTACTAAAACGTAGGAAGCTTCTCAGCTCATTTAGTGCCTCCCCCTTTTTTGAGGACGTGTTCTGTTCGCATTTAGAAAAGTTCCTGTCACCAAATTATTAAAGAAAACTGTGGTGTGATGGAAAGAGCATCTGACCTGGAGTTACAGTATTTCCAGACCTACTTCTACCCTTACTAATGCATAACCTCCTCGTGCCTTGGTTACATCATCTGTGAAATGCTGACAATAACTTCTGTGCCCCACCATGTTTTTGTGAATACCAAGAAAGGGTACGTATGGGAAAAAACGAGAGCCAAATGTAAAGTAGTGTTGTTCACTAGTGTTGTCCTACACTTGACAAGTAACTCAATTATTTGGGATTTGCCTCTTGTTAGCTCCAGTAGAAGGTGTCATCAGGGAAATTTGTGGATTTTAGCTAATGCCCAGAATGCTTCTTCTTAAAAAAAAAAATCCAAACATTCTTCTTGCCCTTCCAACCCACCTCCTCGATCCGTCAGTAACGTTAACATTGAAAGTTCTACTTGGTTCTCAAGGTGTGACCCAGAGCCAGCAGCTTCAGCATCAACCCCGAGAGCTTGTCAGAAATGCAGATGTGGGCCCCATCCCAGACCTCCCTCCGAATCAGAAACGCTGGGGTGGGGCCCAGCAATGTCTGTTTTCACGAGCTCTCCAGCGATTCTGATGCACACTCCAGTCTGAAAACCACTGCGACTGGTCCCCATCTGTATCCATCTACGCAGGTCCATGACTCTGGATTCCCAGACACCTTCTCAGAACTCTGCTGTTGACTTTCCACTGCCCGCCCCTAACAGAACACCGTGCGATCCCTCCTGGGACCGAGCATCAGCGCTGAACTAATAGAGAGGATTGTGAGGAGCCCCAGAAACTCTACCCAGAATACAGCTCTGCCCCTGGGCCAACCCATCGTCATCCTCAGCGGCAGGAGCCAAAGCCTCCAGCCGGCTTTCCTCTGCTCCATCCTCCTCCAGGGCCAAGCGCCAGGTGGAGATCCGTACAAACCGGAGGTGTGCCTGCTCCTCACCTCCCGCTAGGATAAGGATCAGAGGCTTGGTGGCCCCAGGTTTACCTGCACCAGCGTCATCTGCGAGCCGAGCGCCAAGAGTATCTTCTCGGTCTTGGTGGGGTACGGATTGTCACGGTGCTTGTAAAGCCACTGCTTGAGGGGCCGCGCCATGTCTTGCAGGGCCTGTCGCTTGTGCCTCACCTTCCCGCCGTTCTGCCGGGCCCTGGGACACCGGGAGAGGAGGAGGCCCTAGTGAGTGACACTCTCTGGATGCTGCCCGTGGAGAATCCCTCCCTCCCGGACACCCGCTGTTCAGCGGTCGCCGAGCCCCCGCCAGGCACCCCAGGGCACACAGCCCAGCCGCACGCACCCTCCCCGCGCGCCCGGAGGTTGAGGCGAGGGAGCCACACAATGCTTTGTGTGCGAGTATCATTTCCTCGGCATCTCTCTTTGAAGTGGCCTGGTTGTCGCAGAGGGATCATGTGGCGGCAGTAAAGCACCTTAGATTTATCTTGAAAAGGGGAATATCTTGAAGCCAGTAACCCGAGGTTAGATGTCTGGGTGACGATGGTTAAATGACTAGAAGGAAAATGTTATTTAAGCTGCGGTTTTGCGCAGCAGGGCTGTTCCCCTTCCCTCGCCCGCTGCACTGTGCCCTTCTCTAGTGGCCCTGGCCTGGTGGGCTGGCTGGGTAGAGGTTGCTGCAGGCTCTCGAACGTTCTTTCAAGGAACTCTCATGCCGGCCGCTCAGGGCTCCTCGTCGCCTGTGGTCAACGGAAAGGTAGCTCCCTGGACAGCGGGAGGAACGCACGAGTGACCGTCACCCCACTGCTCAGGTTCTCTTGGAGCTCTATCCAGTCTACTTTGAACCTCTGGAGAAAAGGAGGAACTTTCCAAAGGAAGGGTACGAGGGAAAACACTCTAGAGGATTTTTCCTGAGATAAGGAGAGTTAAAAAGTTTGAAAAGATCTGTTCCATGGAGGGGAAGGAAGGAAAGGAAGGGAAGGAAGGAAGGAAGGGAGGGAGGGAGGGAGGGAGAGAGAGAGAGAGAGAGAAAGAGAGAGAGAGAAAGAGAGAGAAAGAGAGAGAGAGAGAAAGAGAGAGAAAGAAAGAGAGAAAGAAAAGAAAAGAAAAGAAAAGAAAAGAAAAGAAAAGAAAAGAAAAGAAAAGAAAAGAAAAGAAAAGAAAAGAAAAGAAAAGAAAAGAAAAGAAAAAAGAAAAGAAAGACCCGGAAAAGCATATTCCGAGGGGGAAGACACAAGCAGGCTGGAGCCAGCGTTCCGCGCTGCGCTCCCAGGAGGCTCCGGGAGGTGTCGCCGCGCTGACGCCCTACTGCCGGGAGACTCCGGGATGTTCGCGCTCTTGAGCCGCAGCCTCTGGGGCTTTTGCCTCTGCACACTTTGAAATGCAATTCCAATCGAAAGCACTGATAGTAACATTTTGACGAAATCTAATCTCTATTTTACTAACCAGCAGCGCCGCAGAAACAGCAGCTGATGCAATCTTCTAGGTGGAGAGGGCCAGGACCGTCGCCCCTACCCAACCCAGCGCTCCCGGAGCCTCTCGGAGGTGGCCGGGGGAGGGACGGCCGTCCCTACGTTTGCAGCCAGAGCAGCCGGGCCCACCAGCGAGCTTCAGCCCTTCACCCTGCTAAAACGAAATCCGGCACAGCAGGCTCGCGGCCTTCCCCTCCCAGCTGGCAGCGAGCCCTGACCAGCAGCGCACCATGAGTGCGCCCTAGGCAAAGCCGACCTTCCCAACACCCTGGCGGAGACAAGGAGAGCCGCGAGGCGGTGTGAAGCCTTGTGACAGAAGAGGGGCAGCCCACGGGGCTGGCCCTGACCTGGGAAGCCCCGACTGCTTGGCCCTGCCCTGTTCCTAGCTTCCTGCTCTGTCCTTTATATCTGGCTCTCAGCTGCGTGTCTGCACCGGCGGTCCGGAGAGGCACAGGTAACCTCCTACCCTGATATCCAAGTATAGGAGGATGGCACGGGCAGTTCCGGGTGTCCTCGGCTTCCGACAAGTCTCTTTTGAGCTATCCTGATGAATAGATCCCCCCTATTTTAAGAAACTACTACCTTAAAACGAGAATGCGCAAAACCAGGAGGCGGAGACCTGCCCTCGAGGGAAACTCCGCGCCCCACTGCTACTTGCATACCCGCGCCGCTCACCGCCCCCACCCTCTCGACTGCGCGCGAGCCCGGGCCCCTGGAGGGTGGGCATACCCTGTCCTTCGGTGTCTCAGTCCGAGGTTGTCCTTGAGGGGTGGGCCTTCCGGAATACCCATCTCCGGACGCGCATGGGGACTGTCCAGGACACCGCCATAGGGCCGGCCGCCCAGCTCCCGCTCGGGAACGCCGTGGTCTTCAAAAAGCACCGCGCCGTTGATCTTGTCGAAGACGATGGTGTTCATGGTGTGGCTTGGCAGGGGCGCCCCGCGCGGCCACAGCGCCTCGGAGCCGGGCCACCGGGAGCTCCGCAGGGCTCGGATTCTAGGAGATGAAGGTGCATCACGTTACTCGCTGAGAGCGCTCACACCCTGAGCGGAGCCCCAAACTTGGCCAAAGCAAGGGGCTGCGGAGTTCAGGCGAGAAGCGGCACCGCCGCACCTGAACCAGGGAGCCCACGCTTCTCCGTTCCTGGCTAACCCGCTCCCCCTGCTGCCGCACACTCTGGGGCAGGTCCCTGTCTCCCTCGTTACCCCGGCGATCGAGTCCCCAAGGCTTCAACCGGGAATAGTGTACCCGCGGCGGCAAGGAAAGTAATTCCTAAACGAGCCTTTCTGCCTGGGTTTGAATCTGGAAGAACCACATTCCAGACAGCAGAGCGAAACCCGCGTGTTCTTCAGTCACAATGGAAGACTAAAGCCTCTCAGAGCTTCCACTCGAGCCGTAAAGGAGGTTTGGAAGAAAGGGAAATTGGGGGTAACATGAACAACCGCCTGCGCAAGCCCAGTTAATGAGTGCCAGGCCGGACCGGGATTTCAAGTTGTCTAGATCTTGGATGGTTTGGCTGAACCCCCTGCCCCTGCGTCCATCTCTGGGGTAGGGGTGAGGGCTGGGAAATTTAGCAGACTCCAGAGCTAGAAAGTTAAGTGGCTTCAAGGACAAACGCGCCACATGATTCCCGCCCCCTCCCCCCCGATCTTTCTACCACCCTCAACCCGCTCGGGCACCCGCAGGGGCCGGGCGGCGCGAAGGCGCGCGAGTCCCGCCTCCCCGCAGCCCGCTGTCAGTGCGGTCCTCTTCCGCAGCGCGGGTGCGAGCCTGGCTCGGAGCCCTTCCACACCCGCCCCTTTCCGGGGTTTCGGGAAACCATTTCGGAGGCTGCAAACGTTTTCGGAGAGGAGGAATCACGGTCCGTGCACCGCAGGGCCCGCGGCTGCCACAGTCCGAGAAACCCTCCGGCTCACCTCCCGAGTCGCTGTGGCCGGGAGCCTCTGCCGGCAGCGCACAGGCGTCAGCGGCAAGTCCGCGCTGCCGCGGATCTGCCCAGTGACCGCCCAGAGGCGCGCGGCCACCACATCCCGCCCCATCTCCCCGCCTCGAGCCACCAAGCAGCTGAGCCGCTCTCCTTCCCTTCGCTGCCAGCGCCCCTCACCCCGCCCAACCGCGGCGTGGGCTGCCCCCCCGGACCCGTGCACTGATCCTCTGCCTCGCCGAGCGCCCACACTCGCCAACGCCCCTCGCCCCGCCCTCCGGCTACCACGGCAGCGGCCACGCGCGACTTGTAGGGCCGTGACCGCGGCGAAACGACGGCTCCCTTCAGTGTTCATGGGGACCTGAAGTCAGACCTCTGCTGGCAACCCCGAGTCCCCTAAGACTGAGTCCTCCCTCCCGCGCAGACAGGTACGTGTCTGGGGTTTCGACACTAGCTCGTCGACAAGTGTGAAAGCAAATTTCCGTGCTCGCTACCCCGGTTCAAAGGTCAGGACTCGGGGGTTTTTTGTTGTTGTTTGTTTGTTTATTGTTAAATCCGTGCGCTTAGTGTTTTGCGGTTCTCGCTGCTCCATTTGTATAATACACCCTTCCCCAGCCTCACAGTCTTCCTCCACCCCAGTGCTCCTGTATGTAGGCGTGTTTTTCCCAGCGCATCCGCCCTGAAGTTTGGAAGATCGGGCCCCTCTCCGGCTGTCCCCAGCCTGCAAAAGGTGGCAGTGAGACACCTGGCGCGGTTTGGGTCCACTGGCATGGCAGAAGCCGCCAAGAGAAGTCCGAGAGCTGGATGCTGACGCAAGGGGTCCCGGGGGCGTGGGAACCGCCTCTTCTCAGCTTCTAGGGAGCCCACGCGCGGTACCCCACGCCTCCTCTCGGCTCCGGTGCTTTCCACTCACCCTAATTCACTCCTAATTGTCACTTGTGGAGCTCCCTCCCAGAGTGACGGCCCCGCCCAACACCCGCGAATAATTTTAAAGCCAAGGAGGAGCGGGCAGCTGGGCTCCCAGGCCCTAGCAGACCCTCCGGCCAGGCTTAGCGACCACCCATGCGCGTCTTCTATGAACTGCGGAGAGAGGTAGGGGAAGGACCAGGAGCGCTGAAGCGCCTGGGGACAGTGAGCCTCCCACCCGAGGCTTCGCGCGGGGACTCGGCGACTCGAGGGCTGTACCTGGAAGAGTGGGGCCCGCGGCCGGCGGCAGGGCTGCTGGCTCTCCCGCGTCGAGGCTAGGCGCACTCCCATCCCCGCCTCATGTTTTCCGCGCGGGCTCCAACGCGCTCACCGCCTCCACCGCCGTCGTCTCGGCTTTATTTACCCAGACAGGCGCGCGCGGCCCGGGAACAGGAATATCGAGGCCTTCTCATGTTTCCTGACTGTTTGGCCCAGCCAGCGAACATCCTGCGGGCGCGGTATCCACGTTCCCGGGCCGTCGAGAGGAAGCTTCTGCGCCGCCCGGCTGTGCGGATGGCAGTTAACCCTCGCGGAGGGGATGCCACAGCCGGCGCCGCGGGGAGACCCCAGCCTGCAGAGTCCTCCCTAGCCAGGCCCGGCTCCCAGCTCCACCGGCCTCGCAGGCGCTGAGCTTAAGGGGCTACTTCCTTCGCACTTAGGGGAGAAATTCTCGGAGAGGCCTCAAATAGCGCCGGGCTCGGACTCTGGGAGCCGAGAGGCTGCGGTGCAAATCCCGTGTCTTAGCTGGCTCCAGTGTCGGAAATTTCACTACAAGTGGCTGGGTGGGTGAGACCACTACAGCGCGCCTTTTATTTTCCTCGCGATTAGCTGGAGTGAAGTTACAGGCACAACCACTTCGGGTTTGTGCCTATAGCGCGTGAGCGTATGTACGAGAGGTTTGAGCCCCGGGAGCCTTTTTTCTGGTGTTACTAGGTTTCTGAGGTCATGGCTGTCTCAAAGCCAGGCACACATTCACCCTCCGGGGCCGCGCTGCAGTGGCTGCCTTCGCCTCGGGCAAGGCTGGGGCTAGGCGAGACCACTGTGCCCAGGTATGGAGGAGAGGGCGACCCTAAGGCCAGGGTTCTGCATGAAGCAAAGTGAACAGAACTTAAAAGAATCAGAAAGGGGACACAGTGCAAGGGGAGAGAATGGTTATCAGATTCTCTTATTGATGATACTTGGCTTCTCACCTTCACCCCAAATATAAGAGTAGCGAAGCTGTGGTTTGGGTGCAACCCGAGGCTCAAGCACCTAGACGCCTCCTTTCTCGCCACTGGCCTCGCTGCTGCAGCGACACCTTTCCTATGTTTTTAAGAGCGAAAGTAGAGTTACCCAAACCTGAAAGGCATGGTCCCTTTCTCCTCTAAAGGTGGCTGGCAGCGCTGGGGCAGTGGCTCGCCTATCCATGTTTAGGTGGCCTGGAAGTTGTTAAAACATATACTAAAGCTATTTTTCCAAGACAAATCAGACCCCCGAATTTTCTATGTTACCTCCCAAAATACGTGGCAGCAAATCGGGAAATTGCACAATCTAAAGCGGAAAGGGACGTAAGTTTACATTTTTGACTACCAGACAGATAAATATAATCATTTGATCACGTTTCCCGATGTCCTTGGTTCTCTTTCATGATACAACTTGCACTTGTAGAGCGCGCACCTCGTCTTGGAGCTGCACTTGACTAGCTGCGGTGTGGGCTCAGTGCAGGCATAGGTAGACAAACCTCGCTGTGAGGATTTAAAGTCCAGGATACCTCGCCAAGTTTCGACTTGCTGCGAATAAGTTGCACGACAGAAGTAGTTCTAATTGGTAACTCACAGGACGAAAGAATCCTGCTCCCCCCTCTTTGGTCTTCACGACCACGATGGCGGTCACCAGACATGACCATGAAATCAGCTGCAACGTTTCCCTCTAACATGTACTTGGTCAGCTGTGCCGGGCAAAGCAGAAGGCATGTATATAGTTGCTTCCATTTTCACAAGACCTGCTGTGGTGAAATATGGAGATGTATGCTTTCATATAGGCTAGTAGAGGACAAATTAATTTTCTTGTTTTGATCTTACCCTATTTATACAATTTTAAATGCATTTAGAGAACATTAATTAAAGATATATTTACATATAAGATTTGTGTTCTTAAAACCGGATGTAAATGTATAGCAAAAATCTTTCTGCAAAATGTACTTATTATTATTATTATTTACTGGAAAAATAATATATACCTGAGCCTCAGGTTAAGTCACTGAAAATTAATATATGGTCATTACATTATAATTTAGTCATTAGAATTCATTTTAAAGTGATAGAACAGTGGAGGGTCTATTTTAAAATGAAATTGTGTGGAGAAGTTTCCTCTAATATACAAATGAGCGTGTATTTTGTGATAGACCAAACTTTTATTTCTGCATTTCATCCTTTATGTAAGAGTAAAATATCTTTATTTTAATTCACTGTTTAGATACATTTATCATTATCTTAAATGTCACATTTTCCTAAATTGTGTTTTACTCAGCTTCTTATGTTATTCCAATCTCAGTATATCAAATGCTGTATTATAATTCTCAGAAGTAAAACTTTCAGTTTCTTTAGAAACTTAAATCTTTAGAAAGATTTAAGAAAGTGTATGTAGTTTGTGGGAGATTGCCTTAATGTGGCGGGAAGAAAAATAGGCCAGAGCCAGAAGACTTGATCCCTAATCTTAATTCTGGTTAATTTGATGTTGGTTTAACATGAATTTACTGAAATGTAAAATGAATATTATTAAGTTTTCCATAAACTTTCCTCACACTCTCATCAAGAATTTTTTTATGTGAAACCTACACATTGCTAAAGCTAGAAATATGTTAAGTAAGAACATTTGGTAGAAATCTAAATTCATTCTACTGGGCTTCAAGTATAGTTATAAATATAATTTTTACTTTCTAATGAAGGGGAAAAAAGGAGACTTCATTTTTAGCATGTTGATATGTTATCAAGGAACCTGATATTTCACAACAAATATTCGTTATAATTTTTGAAAATAATGATTGCTTTTAAACTCTCTTTTCCAGTTATTACTTAAAGGCAATGACATAAATTACAAAGCAGAGAACGACTGTCACTCCCTGGCCGAAGGGTAAAAACGAGTAAACTTGTAAACAAATAGCAGATTCACCTGACGCTTGGCTAGCAACCCGTAGAGACACATGCGTTGTAAGGCACGGTTTGCAGTGTGAGCAAACGAGTAGAATGGGTGGGTGGCCCACAAATACCTCCTGAGGCCTTTTTCCTTTATTTATACTGCAATTGCATAAATAATACAGAATAAATTCTCTCGGAGAGGGTCTTCTCCACAAATTCACTCTCAAGCAATCAAAGAACAAGGGGACAAAGTGGAAGTTCCTCTTCCGCCAGCTCCACCCAATCACGCTTCTCAGAGGCAACCACCAAGAGACGGCCATAGCTGGTCCGATGTGCGTCTTTTTTACCTTTTTCTGTGCATTCCCAAACATGAATATAAACAAAACATTATAAGTTTGTTTTATTAGTCTTTTTAAATAAGTAAGACCACGCTTTACGTGTGGTTCACACAGAGAACTATTAAACTAAAACTTGCTTTTTCACTCCATAATTTTATGGAGAATGTTCATAATAGCACATATACATATAACCCCTTTTTAACTGTTATATAATGTTCCGTCATCCACTTAGCCATTCCCCTATGAACATTTCTGTCTTTCCAATTTTCACTATTATGAACATGAAATATTCTTGTATGTGATTCTTTCTGCACAAGCGTCAATATTTCCCTAAGAATACCTATACGGATGTAGGATTGCTGGATGGAAGGAAACAAGATTTAAAAAAATTTTAGAGATATTTCTAAATTTCCTTCCGACTCACACGCACAGTAACACACGGAAGTCCTCAGTACCTCCTAGGCTTACACACCATTGTGTGTGTTGGTCTTCATAATGTTTGCCTGTGGGGGGGGATAATGTCTCATGGGTTGATAGCATTTTCATTTTTTATGAGCCATTTTTAATCTCTTAATAGAAGAAAGTTGCTTATAGTCATTGCTTATGTTCTTATTAGATGCCTTGTAATTGATGGAGTTTTTTTGTAAACCATTTGTCCATGATTTATATGCTTTATATATTGCAAATATGTAACTTGGTCTAATGTCTGCCTTTTACCTACTTGTCTCTTGCTTTACTGAAGGTTTAAACATGACTATAGGTCAATAAGTCTGTCTTTTTTATAGATTCTGGATTTTGTGTTTTCCTCGGAAAGTTTTCTTCCCTATATTTTCTTGTAAAAGTTTAAAACAACTATTTTCACTTGGCTCTTTAATCCTTCTGAAATTAATTTGTATATGTTGTGTTGTAAAATCAAAAATCTAATTTGATTTTTTTCTTCTTCAATTGAATAGACAATTATTCTTATGGCACTTATTAAAGAGTTTCCCCCCATTGATTGGAAACAACTTTTCTAATGTATGTGGTGAATTCCTTTCCATATGTAGGTTAGTCTGACAAGGCTTTGAGAGATGCAAAACACCAATAGACTGTAACAAATTTACAATAGACCTCACAACTTAAAAAGCATCTTGCATTCTAAAGACTTTCAGTATTATTCCGTCCTAATTTCAGAACACGTCAAGTATCGAAATAATAATGTGCATTGCCTGGTAATGGTTCCAATTAGAAGGCTAATTCAGTGTTGCTCCAGGAGGTGCTGCTGTGTGCTCGTGCCCTGCTTGGAAGCAGCAGAGCGATTTCAGGCAGCCATGTTCTCCAGAGCAGAGTAGGCTGCGCCCAGATTTTCCGACACATCACAGGACGAGGTGATAATTGGCGAGGAGCAATACAAGATTATTCAACACAGTGGTAGGCCCCTGCATCTACGATTTGAAAAAGTAAACTGCATCTATCTTCTTGTTCAGTTTTTCTACGGAATCGGAATTAATTTTTTTTCACAAAGCAGCCAGTCGGGATGAGAACCTTCAATATGGTTGTACTTTAGTCAAATTCACTCCAGACAGAAATGCAAGTACTTTGTCACCACCATTTCTAAAAGACATTAGCTTCATATAAGTGCAGACAATACGAATAATAAGCAGTTAGTAGAGCTGAGATCCAAATGGGTTAATGTCTTGTGCCACTTCACAGAGCTCGGGACGGGACCTGAAGAGGAACCAGTGCTCCAGCACCCCAGCTGTCCCCTGGCACCGCGAGTCTCCAGGACTTTACCCACCTGAGAATGCACCATGCACTGAGATCCTGAGGAACGCTTCAGTTTGAAAACAGGTAAAGAAATACTGGAACTCCTTCCAGAAAATTATTCTAGCCTGAACATCAATTTGCTTTACATCCAAAAGTGGATGTAAATACATCCATTTTAATAAATACAGCGAAGACTTCTGACCATAGGCTAGAATGACTCTGTATATTCAACCCAATGGACTTCAGGTACTCAATTGATTTTTGCCTGACACCTCCAACCCAAAATTCATCTTCCTTGCTTTCATTATGTGTAGTGTATTTTAATAAATCCAACAAAGGAATCCTTGTGAGCAAAAGTGATGTGTGCAACTTCTGCTTCACATGCTTAAAAAGAAATTGCTTGCCCTTATTTTTAACTTGTCCCTCTTACCAACAGCGGGAACACAGGTGTGGCCGTGGCTCACAACCACTGATTAGACAGAAACTTAAACAACAGCAGAACTGCAAGAATAAGAACCCTGGGCCTTCGAATGGACCACAGGAGTGAGAGCTACCTAGCGTGGTATTGGCAAACTTTTTCTGTAAAGGGCTGCATAGTAGTAAATGCGTTAGACTTCGTGGGGCATATTGTCCTGTTGCAGTTATTCAGCTCCACCATTGTAGCGTCAAAGCAGTCCTGGATAACGATTTGACTGTGAGTGAATACTTGCCTTGAATGAACGAATGCTTGACTATGAATGATTCAGTGAAGGAGTGTTGCTGTGGTCCAAAAAGAAAAAAACTGTATTTAATAGACTAAAGGTTGAATTTCATATAATTTTCATTTGCCACAAAACATTATCCTTATCCTTTTGTTGATTCTTTTCACCCATTTAAGAATGTAAAAACTATTCTTACCTTACAAACAGAAATAAGAACAGGCTACATTTGACCTGAGGCTGTTTGCTGGTCCAGACGTAGAATGATCAGCTCTGGTCTGTTATGGGGAACAAATAAACATCCCCCTTGTTTATGTTACTGTATTTTGGTGTTTCCTGGCTGAAGGAGCTCAGCCTATACCCTACATAATGCACACCTGTACAAAGATGATCTCGGTTACCACAGAAGGGCTTAAGAAAAGTGCTGTTTAATGACGAAAGGCTGCCACAACCAGAGAGAACGGGAGAAGAGATGGAATGGAAATGTGTTTTTGCCATTCTTCTCCTAAAAATGTGTTGCTTGTGTTGAGAGAACCAGGCTAATTATTTTTATAATATTTTTGATACTATGCTCTTTTTCATTTTATCCACTTTTTTAAAAGGGTACTGATGTACCTTTAAATGTTGTATTGGTGTTTAAATTTTAAGGCTTATATTTTTTGTAGTCACAGAAAATGGCAAATAATTGTTAAGAGTGACTGTTTTCTGGCTCACTCCTCCCTTTCAAAAAAACCCTCACACAATTGGAACTACTCTCTTAGTGTTTTCTTTTTTAATAATCAACAATAAATATTTATGGGGCACCTGTATGCAAAATCCTGTGCCAAGAACAGCATCAAATTTGATTTAAAAAACACACCCCTTGCCTAGTGTATAAGCCTGTTAGGAAAGCACAGGCAAACAAATACACCTCATCTAAAATATTTTAGGGTGTCTGATATAAAGATTGCTTGAATCCAGCAAATTGGTAAATCATCTGTAGAAATACATGAGGGAGCTTGAAGATGATAGAAGGGCCATTTTATGTGTCTGCTAAAAATTTTGTAACCATATTACCAACATCCTTCCTGAAAAGATGCAAAAAGATCCTTATTTCAGAAATTTGAGCCTGATTGGAAAACAGCATTTTCACCTCTTACATCAGACTTTTTCAAGTTTTATGCCAAAAACCTCTGGGTTTCAAGAGAACTTTTTAAGACTTCTTTTGAAAAAAAATGCAGTAAGATAAACACAGTGAGGCTAGCTGACGCTCTTCCTTTCCTCCTATGTTTGTCCAGGCCTTCCTTGAACCTGCCTTGGGGCTCCTACCTGCACACTCCTCCTGTGCAAAGGTGCAGAATGGGAAGGGGGATTGGCTGAGAAGAGTCAAGAATAAACCTGTTAGGTGTGGTGGTGTATTGATTCTTGAGGCTTATACAGAGAAGCCTCTTGTAATCCCCAGCACAAGCAGACTAATTCTTCCCTGGGTATCTGGGCCACAGAACCACTGGCAGGCAGCTGGTGCAGAGGGAGAGGTCAGGTCTGCACCTAAGACTACACAGTGATCCTAACTCATCAGTCAAAACTCTTTGTTTTGAAATTCATCAATCTTTCTTAAGTGTGCTCTGATATTGTAAGCTACCACCAATCCCACTTTAGATGGGAGTTTGGGCTAAGTGGAAGGGAAAAGGAAAAAGGTGTTTTGTCAATTAACGGTATAATTTAAATAGCCCAAAGCATAGGATAAAGGGGTCCTTGTAAAACGCAAATGCCATGTTGTTGGGTTTTTTCCCTTGGATCTGCAGTAGCAGTTTACATAAGACTTATGTCCTGATATTGCTCTTCCAGACTCTTGTAAGTGGGGACATAATTAAGAACATATAACAAATTTGAATAATACACACACAGCGTGCACTGCTTGCCCATGCACTGTTCTAAGCACTTAACCCATATAAATGCTCATAACCACCCTTTGGGGCAAGTACTCACTGGAATCCATATTGTAGAAGAGGCTACCTTGGCATAGAATTGCCATAAACACAAGTCGATAACTGATGGGCCCAGTATTTGAATGAAGTCAGGCATGCACCAGAACTTGTGTGCCGAGCCAAACTGCATGGCCTCTTTGAAGGTGCATGGGAAGGAGAGAGAGGAAGAGCTGCAAACACTTGGCTACGTACGTAATTGTAGGCACAGCTAACTATGTAGTTGCACATCTTTTGGCTTCTCATGTAACAGAGGAAGTTCAATGCCAGCATGTTCATTTTTACTTCTGTATGTGATCTTTCTCCTAGGTGAGGAGCAAGTGCAATTTCAGTGTCACTGGAGTACGATGACTTCGCACAGCTAAAGGGCTGTACTTCATGTTCATCTTCATGTGTGGACTCACACTAAAAAGCCAGTAACTGTGAGTCTCCTGTGAGTTCCCTAAATCTAGAGAACATTCTTCCCAGTGGGCAATGAAAAACAACATCTCCGGAGTAACCGAAACAGTCCCGAGATGGTGTTTTATTGCAGGAGTAGGCACAGCCTGATTGGAAGTGGCACATCTCACTCAGCCAGGGTGAAGCCCAGTAGTCTGCATTAAGAAGTCAAAGGAGATGGTAGTGGCCGCTGCAAGTTCATAACCCTCTTCTTGCTGTTTTGTTTCTGTTTTGTTTGGTTTTGTCTTTTTTCCATTCGTAATAGTTTTCAGGCCTGTTTGTAACATTTGTGTAGCCCTAGGCAAGAAGATAAATGGATGCCCACTTCCGTATGTCTAAATGTTTAAAAGTTACAAATCAAGCTGTTAATCGATTATAATTGTCTATCATTTTGTCTAAATCAAAACACTGTTAAATAAAACAGGCCCTATCCTTCCATGTTGACAAACATACCACTAGGACAAAAAAACAGAAACTGTGTAGGTATGATTTTTGTTGGGAAAATATCAATGACAAAGCAATTTAATTATTGCTGCATGTATCTGAATGTTTTGTTGTTGGACTGGCAATATTTAAATGAGTAATAAAATGAAAGAGACATAATTCATAATTTATTATGTATTTTATTCTATTAAATGTATTTTCTTATCTTCCTTTGAGCAAAAATTACTGATTATATTATTATAATTAATTTTTGTCGTAATTTGTGTCCTGAAGGATTACAAATAAAATGTAATTCTACATGCAGTTCCACAATTTTAATATATTTTCATGAAGTATATACATTAAAACAAATACAGAAAAATTTAGTTAAACTTATTTTAATATATTGTTTATGAAATACTATTTTTATTCTATAATATTCAAATTATACATAAAATTAAACTAGAAAAAAATTATTAATGTTTTTAAAAACTGAAATTTAATTTTTTTGAGAATTTAAAACATTTTATACAAATATAGTTATCTGCAATGGTAAGTGTTCAATGTTGGTTGTCAGTATAAAGCCCTGGTATTAGATTTCATGCATGGTTTCTCTAGAGCTACAGACTTACAAATTAGGGAGTGATGTTGTAGCAGGAGGGATTGACCGGAGTGCTAGGCAGAAATTGTAACTGAACCATGTGACAGGCTTCCATACCCGCCCCGCTCCCGCAAAGGGTAAACAACTAACGCGGCTGTGACAAAGCTTGCACAAAGTATGCACGGGATGAAAAGCCGTAACACACGTGTACGGTGGAGGTGAGCAGGGTGATGCCCCGTCCCCGGCACAGACGCTGCGCCTTTGCTGGCTAGAAACCCTCCTAGCCACTTCCAGATCTTGGCGGCAGGAAGAGAGGCAGAGACGCTGCGCAGGCTGACATGCATGATGGACGTTAGCCTCAACTGGCAGGCAGGCTGGACACTCCCCCAGTGCACTGGGTTTTGGGGAGGATGTTTAAACAGAGGGTGCACAGGAACTCCCTCTCTTACCACCACCTGGCCAGCTGGGTCGGGGATCTGGGCCTAAGTATCCCTGGGCCAGCAGGTCCGGGAGGCCGCGTGGCCAGGCCACAAACCCCACGCTCCATTTTACGTGAGAAGTGGTGGCAGCCCTGGTGACCAGAGCCGTGCTGAGTGATCCCGCCCAGCCAGGTGCACACAGATTTGAGACATGGATGCCTGAAGCCGGACTGCTAAGCAGCTTGAATGCTGCAACTATTTGCTTATCCCAAAAGATGGTACTTTTTAAATGGGAGGAGGAATTCCAGGCACAGCCTTGAACTGAGCTAGCAAAGGGTAGAGGGGTTATTTGTCTTTGGGTATGTTAAAGGGAATGGCTTTGAGGCAGAAATTCATTATTCTTCCAAAATTATGTAGCTTTTAAATAAAAGACTCCTCTTCTTTTTCACCAACCTCTGCTTCTGGAATTTATGGGCAGCAGGAAGTGGAACCTCATGTGGCTACGCAGTAACAATGTGAATTGGTTAATATTGCAAACTGTTATAGTTTTGCCAGATGAAACTATTGTAAAGATTCACTGAATATTGAGTACCACATAAAATGAAGCCAGGCACCAGAGGAAACGGCACTGCAGGAGGTAAGGATACACTGCCTTCAGGGGATCTGCTGAGTTGATTACTCTGTCTTTTCTCTGGGCTCTTGGAAGCAGTGTTCACATCCAGTGCTCTTAGCAGTAGACTGCAAACCTTCATGACATTTGAATGTGATCACCCTTTACCTTAAGGATACAAGGCAAACGATGTGTAGAAGCATTTCCATGGGCCCTGAATGGTGTTAGTCACAGAGCAGATGTTTGGGTTTAAAGCCGCACTACATCCCATTGAGTGCTGAATCCCCAACGACAGAGGCACCATGCGTTCCTCAATGCGTGTGGGTGGGGGGGTGGGGGTGATGGAGGTCATGGAGGTCTTTTTAGAAGGGTTCAGGGCAGTGACACTTGTCCTGGATCTAACAGTGGTACTGGTTGTTGGGAGTGTTTTTTTATAAAGGGTATGCTATCTATGTACTTACTTTTTTACTTATTTATTTTTAAAAGTTTATTAAACTTGGGGCCTCAGATGAATCCAAAAATAACTATCCTCTGATGACCCTACAATGATTAACACATACCACAACACCTAAAGTTGCAGAAAGCAGACTCATTTTTAAAGCCCACCCAGACAACATTCATTTTAACAGGGACAATTATTACAGAATAATCCTAAAGAAGGGATGTCTTCACTTACGGTCAGAGGTTTATACATTGGGGCAAAGTCAGCTTGGCAAATTCTTCCCCTCAACAAGACTTCCGAGGAGACAGCTGGTTGTGGGCATTGCACATAATGAGGCCACCACTTAACTGCTTTGTGGTCCAGTGCCTGGTCTCTCCACAGAATGCTTTGTATTTCCTTTGGTGCTACATTTTTCAACATGGTGCCTATGGGCCACCTTCAGCAGCCCAGGTACCTGTTAAAAATACAGGTTCTGAATCCCAAAGACATGCTCAGAGTCAGGTTTTCTTGGCTTAGGCCCTGTGGTGATGCCAACATATATGTTTCTTGCTCCATACCGTGAGAAAAATTAGTCTAGAGCAACGGCTCTTAAGTTTTTTCATTGTATTCAGCAGGCAGCTGTAATACACGGTGGGGCAAAAGAAGGTTTACAGTTGTTTGTATAGAAAATAATATAATACTTAATGAAAGTAACTATTTTTATTAAATAAACTCTGTGCTTTATGTTCTCACAACTGCAAACCTGCTTTTGCCTCACCCTCTGTGTGTCCCAGGACCACGTTTTTCCCCTTTCATGGCCTCAGCCTTCTTTTTACTGAGAAAGCAGCCTGGAGTAGGCTCACCTCTGGGATTAAGTATGAGATTTTTAGTGACAAATCCTAACACTAAGATGCCACATCTGTAGGGCTATTTGGGGGATCCTACACAGTGTATTGAACTCTGACAAAACTGATCACCTTATTCCTTGAGACAACAATTTATTAAGGGGCTGCAACACTAGGGCATTTTACATGTATTTTCATTTTAGTTCTTTTTATGGTTTCCAGATTTTTAACCTCAATTACTGCATTTCTGTGGATAGTTTAGGATTAGAAGTATTTTATTTAGGTAGTTTGTGTTTTAGGCCTCACTATGAGCTTAAAGTAGTATATTTGCTACTCGATGTCAAAAACTGAAAAGCAGCACTCTCAAACTGCAGCATGCGTGCAGTCACCTGGTGGATGGTATTCCAGTCCGATTCTGATGCCCTGCAGCCCACGTCCTGCATTCCTGATGTGCTCCTGGGAGGTGCTGGTGGCCCGAGGACCGCACTTTCCACGGCAAGGTTGTAAGTGGCCTGGCTATAGCTTAGTTCAGTCTTTCTCTTCTTATTCTAGGAGAACTAATGGCACCCAATGAGAGCTTATCATCATAGAGAGGGATGGGGACATGGGTAAGAATAAGAATAATGACCTTTTTGGTATTATTGGTATAGAGAAATACTTGTAAAACCAATTAAGACAGTTATTTCTGTAGCACAGTGGCTGGACTGTGGATGCACAATGGCAGCCTAGCCTGTAATTACTGAGTTGTTTTAGTTATCAGTTTTAGTCCACATTTCGTAACTAGATTTAGATGTATTTTACTACCTTTTAATGAAATTTATTTTTTTCTATTTCATATCATGAATATGCCAAATTACTTCCTACACAGAAACTTCATATACAGAAATTTGTGTTTCAAAAACCAAATAATGTTTTATATGTTGTACCTAAAGTTGCCATTTAGATCTTTTGAGCCAAGCCCAGGAGCTTTACTTCATGTAGCACATATTTTAATTTATGATTATTTATTCATTCAGCAAAAATTATTTATTGAGTAACTTGTTATTTATTTATTATGCTTTCTGATTTTTCTTGTCATTTTATTTTCAATTTTATTTGGTATTGGTTTCAGGTGTTCAGCTTAGTCGTTACATAATCATATACTTTACAAAGTGTTCCCTTCAATATTTTCATTTGGGGTCAACTGATACCATACATAGTTATTGAAATATTATTGACAGCATTCCCTATGCTTTACTTACATCCCCATGACTTTTCTGTAACTGCCAATTTGTACTGTTTAACCCCTTCACCTCTTTTACCCATTTCCCCAACCACCCTCCCCTCTGGCAACCACCAGTTCACTCTCTGTGACTATGAATCTGTTTCAGTTTTTAATTGACCAAACATCATTTTAGAGGAAGAGATAAATTTTCCTTCCAGTGCATGGTACCTCTTGACCCTGATGATGACTCTGATAATTATAGATTTTACTACAACAGAATGTTTACATAATACAGACAGTAGTACATATAAGTTATATTACCCATTCATTAGTCAGTAACTCCCTAACTGAAAGCAACATATCCTAAATGTATTGATTATGGTGTAGGTTAAGGTGTACTAACAGATACTATTATAAGTCATTGGTTAAAACATAATAGAAGTGTACCTCTTTCTCATGTAGTCTGGAGGGAAGTGGTTGCCTAGGTTTGGTGGGCAAAAGATCATGGAGAGACCTGGGTTCTTGGAGTTGTCGTGACTATGGTCTTGTTCTATCCAGGTGGTTGAAACTGACTCAGCTCCTTGTCCACAATATACCCTGCAGAAAGGGTTAGCAAACAACTTTGTTTTAAGTTTCTGATATGGAACTTACATAATCACCTCCACTTACTTTCCACTGGCACAAAGAATGCAATGGACAACTAGCTGCAAGGGAGGCTGGGAAATCCAATCTCGAGCTGTGTGGCTAGATAAGGGAGCATGGACTGAGGATCAATTAGCTCTCTTCAACACCATGTAACTATGTATGTGTGCATAAAATCACCTCACTTATAAGTTTTAAAATGGATTTTGAAGTCTGACAAGAGCACCTGTGTTTACAGGTAATATCAATATTAGTAACTTTCTCTTCTTGAAAGAATGTTCAGATGAAAGTTTTACACAAAATACACAGAAGAAACTCTAGAAAAC